ACACTTCCCAACACACTCAAGGAGAAGAATGTGATTGAGTGAACTCTTGAGTGGTCTCTCCACTATTGCCAAGCCCACCACCTCTAACCACCCCCCCCATCGCGCCCTCACTACCCATACACGTTAATCCCACTTCAAAGTGAGATCCTCCTCCGGTCTCGGACACAGTTGAGTGCAGCTTAAATTGAGATGTTGAGGTCTAAAAGCCATGCCACCCAAGTGCTCGGTTCACTACTGGGGAATCATTTTAAAATTACTTCTAGGATGTTATTCTTTTTTCAGAAGATCACAGAAAAGTAATGCCATTTAATTACAATGTGTGAGGTATGGTGAAAAAACATTTATTGCCATTGTTAAACTGTTAACTGTTAAAATAGATTGGAAGAATGAAACCATAAAGTTGTATTTCCATTGAACTGGAGAGGTATTTAAATCACATTTTGGGCAAAATAAGGAATGATATTAGTGGAAATAACTGAGGAATAAAAGTTTTTCTGCTCAGGTAACAATGACTGAGTTCAACAAAGGTCTTCGCTGTCCTAGTCACTGAAACATGATAAGTACAGACTGTAAAAATCAGTTGAACCAATCAATCCAACATGTCTATCAAAGGGATTATTTATGAGGCCAATCATACTCATGACATTTTCTCCACCCTGAAACATGATTCAGATCCAAATTTACTGGTATTTTTGCCAATAATCAGTCACCATAAGCATCAGCAGTGAGGCAGTGCTGTTTGTCAAGCCCTCATCTGCTACTGCCATCTAATGGTCAACAGATGTCACTGCATGGAGAAAAAATAAATAAATAAATAAATAAAAAGATGTGACGTTGTAACTGGCCCCATCACAAGAGGGAGCTATGCAATAGGCTGAAGGTATCACATTACACTGATATGTGGCAGGTTTTTTTTTGTGTTTGGGTGTGTGTGTGTTTAATAGTGTTGAATCTTTTTGGCTTAAGATCCTTTAACCAAAGTTAAAATTCAAATAATGATGTCCACTTGTAAAGTAGTTTCAGAGGCCTAAAGGCTGAAAGCTATTGAATATTTAACAAGAAAAGTGAATTTTTGGAAAGACTTTGGAGACAAATTAAGACAAATAGACATTATAAAGCATTTGGATAATAGAATCATGTTTTTCATAGTCTTACATCCTGGAGTCTTGATCAGCACCACAAAAGACTGTTGATAAAGGAGTACATTCAGGGAATATTTAATTATAGAGATTTCCTTTATGATAATGAAGGCAGCTGGCCAGATATAGGATTGAAATACTAAGTTTTAGTCATCAATCATTCTTACAACATTGCAGTGTTACTGCAGATTATGTAGATGGGCATTTGTGTTGTTTGCAACAAGGTACTGTAAGGTTATTGTGCTTATAAATCAGTCAGCTTTAAGGTGTTTTTGCTGAGAAAATATGTACCTTCAATGCCAGCCCGTGTTTTTGCTTGTTCACCGAAAAATATCTTTTGCTGCCCTACAGTACCTGCAATGTGACTTTGCTTAGTATTATATTTTTAGAATGGTGATAAGTAAGTTACACTTTATTGATCCCCCTGGGGAAATTTGTCCTCTGCATTTGATCCATCATAACTATTAGGAACAGCGTGCAGCCACAGCACAGTGCCTGGAGGCCATCTGCAGTTCTGAGGCCAGCAATCTGGTCAAGGGCAATGGCGCAATTATAAATAATTCAATAAACATATGCATATATCCATCATCTCTATAGCATCGTCCCCAACCCTAACCCTAAACGCAGGTTAAACTCAGCTCAGATTTATTTGGTCATCTGTTTATATTTTGTTCTTGATGATGACAAGTATTTCAAATCTCAGTTGCATTTGTACTTAAACCTCTCTGGTTTGCTCAGTTTTACTCTACATCTACACTTGGGAGTCTGAGCATATGTGACCCAGCAGGTAGTTTACTGACTTAGCATACAGAAAAATAAAAGATTATGACCTCGACCCACTGAGGAAGATTTACCTCCTCCTGTAATATGAGCACTGCCTGGAGTGTACTTCCTGTGCATACACCCAGTCAATTCAAGGCCGCTGGGTTTGATCATACAGATGTTCCAAGTAGGATTCACCTAAATCTCTTTAACCCCGCAAACTGAAGAGGTGCACATTTGTCAGATTTAATCACTGGCATAATCAATGCCACCTAAGATTTCCATATAAGACTACCAGTTTGGCAGAGCAAGTCTTACTGTCAGAAATCAGCAAACACATGTAGCAGTGTCAGTAGTGGTGCTAGAGGACCTGATCCATGACTAATATGAGAGGGGATGTATGACAGGATAATATTGTAGTCTACAGTAGGTGATGTTCTGCATGTCGGGTGCGACAGAGGATGATACTAGGCAGAAACCACAGAGAGCCTGAGGCAGCTGTCGGAGTGAGAGAATATATGTGTAAATTGTGCGGAAATATGCCAATAAAAATGATCAAATCTAAAATTCCTCTCAGTAAACTGGCAAGCCAGGAGGATGATGATGGTGATTTGCCCAACAGAATATTAATTCTGCATTATGTTTTTCTTTGTTATATATTTTATTTTAGTTTGTTTCTGTATCACATTTAAACTCTTAATTAGTAAAGATTGAGGCGTTATGATTTCAGGCCAAATAAGTGTGCTTTGTCTGGATGACTCGTGAATTTGTTCTTACTGCAGTATGAGAAAGTTGGTTCTCTTAAATCACTAAGATGCCACATAATAACAACACTGTTCATATAAGTGGTTTATACGAGTGGAGTTCAGGCCCATTGAGTCCACTTTGCTTTCTGATGAATGTCTGCACTGTGCCAGGCAGCATCTTCTTGCAAACCATAGCTTTGGTTACAAGGGCATCAGTGCTATGAGGTAGTTTGTCAACAATAGTTTCATATGTCTTTATATCACATAACTGTAACTGCTCCACACACTGTAGGACTTGATACACGGCAATCAGTCAATTCAATGGGTCAGTTTTTGTTTATCATATTCACAAGACAGAAGAGGCCTAATATTTGATCATGCAAGATGCTGTAGTGTTGGTACCAAACTTGTTATCAAAACAAATTCCTCCAGATGTGCATACATGATGGCACAGTTACTGTGGACCCGTGAAAACACACTTTTTTTGTTGTTGTACTGACTTGCCTTAATTTACTGGAGATTTACGGTAGCCTTAATTATAACTGCTACATCTCTAACCCCCTAAACTTAACCAAAAACCAAGTCTTAACCCTAAAGTTTAATGATTTATCTTGTTGTGACCAGCTTTCCGTCCGCACATTGTGGATCTGCAAACACAACATGTTCAATACAACTACACAATTATGCATTTTAACTTATAGGAGAGACAATAAAGTTGTTTTAAAGTCTTTTCTTTACAGCCTAAAGCTTAATTTTACATCATTGTTTCACCACAAGGGAGGTTATTAGTGGTTGATTCTTGGTCAAACTAACATTCTTTGTCCCTGACATCACTCTGTAATCATGATCAAGCTTTGCAGGAGATTTTGGCTCGTATTCATGAGTTTACTGTGCTTTTGTGAGGATTTGAATAAACAGCATCATTACCTCTCTTAAGGATATACACACCAAAACTCCTTCTGCACCTTTTCAGTGTGCAAAGCAAACCAGCCCTCTGCCCTATCATAACGATTTCCTGTTCAATGATATCGACCCTTTGACCCCCTAAGCTGGAGGTTACCCCTGCAGAGGTTAATCTTAGGTCAGACAGGAGTGTCTGTGTAATGTATACATGCAGCAGGGCAGACACTTCAGTCCTCTGGCTTGGCTGAGAAATGTGAGCAAAGGACTAATGTCTCACACATTCCTTTTCTAATAGGCCCACCTACAAAGAGTGAGCTGCAAACAGATGGTTATTCTCAACTCAAGCTGAGGATGGACTCTCACAGGGTTGGATTTTTAATGATATGTTCAGCCCATGCAGTTCATGTGTATGTCCATATACTGAATGTGCATCTCCTGGCATGTGTGTGCCTATAATGAAATGTAAAGACTATCTCCCAACTTCCGTGACTGTCTATTGTTAACTAAAGGTTACAATTTACACATGCACAAAAGCATTTTAATAGTGTTTGGACATATTTTTTGCTCCCCTTACCTTCCCCTCATCTATTAGATTTTACTGGTGATAGGAGGAAAGCACACAGAGCCAAAGTTGTGTGCTCAGTCTCCTCCTGGGAAGAATATTATTCCAGCTCTGCGCTAAGGGTCACGAGCTAGCAGGGCAGGTCAAGCATCTACTTTATCCACATCATTTCTCCTCAACCCTCTACAGTATAATGCTTCCCTCAGTTTAATCTCCACCCTACCAGATTTTGACAAAATAAACAGGGAAATGTTTTACATCTATTACAATTAATTTGTCTCTCGCATTGTCTTGATGTGAGCAGTTTCTGAAGCCGTCACCATGAATATACTGTAATTTATGCCCAAGTGTATGGTACATTACTATTCACACCTCATAAGATGTGTGAGTTGTTTTGTATATATGTACATATTTGGTTTCCTCTCCTAAAGTTGTGAGTTTCAGTGATACTCTGTTTAGACTATGATTTTTTTATAAACTACAACCCAGTTTATGTTGGTTTGGCATATATGTTCAACACTATTGTGTTTTCTGCACCTCACATCATATAGAAAGTTATGAAATTCTTTTCCACATATGAACATTGCTTGAAGATCCAATATAAACATTGTTTTTACTGTGTCACAATCCAATTTAATGGTGTATTCACGGTTGAATTTGTTGTTTTGTTTCAAAATTAAGTAAGTATATCATTTATGTTTTTAATGAAGCTGAACTGAGCTGTAAGCAATTACATGTGTGATTGGAAATGTCTCATAACTTGTATTTGTTCATGCATCTGGAAACAGAAATGCCTTGTGCCAAAAATGACTTTATCTCAAGTAACAGAGGAATACAGTTATTGGTAAAAAAAAAAATGTTTGGATTAAGCAAGAAGTGTTGCTTAGCTTGAACTTGGGTAATCCTTTTATGGTAATTGCCTGACGCTGACCCATCCTGATTTTACAGTCTCAGTGTCATTTTGCTTTTTTGTTATTGTCCCTTAAAAGCAAAACCTAAATGTGAAACAGCTTCTTTTTATTACAAGTATAAAATAATGTACTTCCGTAATCAATGAAACACAGATAGTTGATGAACAGGCTGTAATGTTGGACAAAGTTTATCCAAACATGCACTCATATCCATAACTGGCCATGGCTCCAGTCCTGCTGCTGGCCTCTCCAGAGAGCCAGGTGTCTGTTCCCATCTGCATCAAACCTCAGCTTTTCCTGAGTGTGCTCTCTCTGCAGCTCGGTTAACTTAAACGAGGACATGCAGTCAGCCAGCACCTCCTAAAACATACAACAAGCTATAGGCCATACATATACATATAGACACTGTTTTGAAATGTTTATGCAGTTCCATTGTTCAACAAATTCCCATCAAAGTGGATTAAGTAATGATGATCATCATTTATGTACCTGCGTTACAGTAAATGAAGCATGAGCACTCAAATTGAACTGACAACACTTTAATGAATTAAATTAAATATATTTATCCTGTGTTCATCGTACCATTGATTGCTTTTCTTTTTTTGCCTGCAAATGACTAATTTCTTTCAAACTGAAATAAGAACTTAATATATTCTGTGGCTGAACAGATCCAACAACAGCAACAGGTTTACACTTATGCAAATGATCAGTTCCAGTCTGACTAATAAGAATCCCAACCATAAAAGCAGCACAAAGATGTGTACAGTAACAGTGCACACAGTCTGTGACCCTGATGAGCGTGAAAGCACAAAGTGGGTTCATTCACACTAATGCTCATCCTTTCACTGTTGTGTTACAGTCCAGGCTTTGGAACAGAAAGACGCTTTCACATCTAAACATGAATGGGACTAATCAAGGGGATATGATACTGTTGTCAAGTAAATAAATGCTGTTCTGTTAAACAGAGGCAGCTGCATCGCCACTCATATGTCAACCATTTGAACAGATAAATATACGCATGGGGGTATATTGCCTAAAAGATCTCATGATATGTTTGGTTACTGTCCTTGACACGCATACACACCCGTACAGTATCCCACCCTGTCTCCCTCCCTCCTGTAGTGGGTCAAGTTCTGCATGCATTCTTAATGAGGGTTTGGCTGGTACTTGTGTGCCAACTGCACTTGGATAGTCCCAGGCAGAGATTCAGCTGTAGCCAGTTATTGGATTGATCAAGTCATATTAATGCTTTGACCTCTCTCGCACACACACTCATACTGAACATGCTCTGGTGTTGCTTCTTTTCCAGAGACTGTGGGGGCTCCGGCAAACGTAAATCAGGTAAGGATCTGAAATCTTTTTAACTCGGTCAGTAGAATCTGTTGAATCTTTATAATATTTGCTGCTCACTTGATACATGATATTATGAGTTTGAGGTCTTTTTTATGTACAAGTTTCAATCAGTATATTTGCACAAACTTCTTGCGGTTACAGGGGAACTCCACTTATTTTACACATTGAAGTCTGTTTACCAGTCTTGGGGAGTACTACTGCATATATGTGAAAGAAGTATTTTGTTGCTCCACAGGGAAGTGCCTGAAATCTGATAAATTGCCTCAAATTATGTCATGGCAGCTGTTTTGATAATTGATTAAGGGTTTCAGTAATTTCACACAATCACAAAAATGCCAAACATTTTCTGGTTTTAGCAATCTAAAATGAAAACATTTGCTGTTTTTCTTTGTCACATATGACAGTAAATTTTGGATGATTTGATTTTGGACAGTTGTTTGGACAAAACAAACAATTTGAGGACATCATGTGTTCTGAGAAATTGTTAATGACGTTTTTTCATAAAAATAATTAGGGGAATCATTGATAATTGATATAACTGTGGGTTGCAGCCCTAGTTTGGAATAGAAAAGGTATCTCTGCTTCTGCTGGGTTGATTTGTATCCATGCCATAGGTGTGCAATGCTAACTTGGTGGAGTACTCCTTTAAAAGAACATGTTCCTCTGGCACACATCCTGATCTAACACTTCTGTATTCTGTATTATCTTGTGATAATAACAGTGTTAGGTGGGAGAGACCACATGTTTGCGACTCTCTGCTCTGTATTTGGTCTGCCAGGGTTGTGTGTTGGTTTTGTGTGTGTGTGTGTGTGTGTGTGTGTGTGTGTGTGTGTGTGTGTGTGAGAGAAAGAGAGAGAGAGAGAGAGAGAGAGAGAGAGAGAGACAAGGAAGACATAAAGACTGAGTGACTCAGCTGAGCATAGGGATACAGGCGTAGGAGGCAGCAGGAAAAGTATGAGAGGGGTTTAGTGAACAGCTGTGCAAGTGTTGTGTATTTTTGTGTCCATGCAGTCTCAGAATACCAACATGCATTACTAAATTACATGTTAGTCCTGCAATCAGATGCAAACTTACTGTGGCCATCCATCCTGCAATCTGCCACAGTTATGTATGACATAGCTGGGCAATGAAAGTCTCAGTAAATGACCTGTAAGTTAATTTTCTGTGGGCAATGCAATCTGAGGAAAAGCTGTGTCGGAGTTGCCACCAAAAGAAATAAGACCCCAACCTAATTTCATTATGTGTTCCATGGTATTGAGGCTTTACGTAACAGGGGATTCCAGCTACATAGCGAAATGGAAAAATTGTCTTATTTCAGCTGTGTGTGTATGTGTGTGTGTGTGTGTGTGTGTGTGTGTTGAGTAGCCTACATTCAGTCTGTGCAAGATATTAGATTGGTTTCCAGCTATATTCATATCGGCTGCCTGGAAAGTTAGTCATATAGCGCCTGTCATTTCAGCTGTTTTAATCTGGATGGTTTGATTTGATATTAAATATGTTATCACCTGTGTAGCTTCTAAGATGTACATATATCTATGCTTACAATAAATCAGTCGATGAGATCAAGTCTACCAATGAAAACAATAATAACACACTTTATGTCTGGTGCTCGTGATGATTTAGTATTCACAGTCAACATGGAGCACATACTGTACAAGGCCTCCATACTTGATCTGTAAACCTTCCCCATAGTCCCCCATGCTGGACATTAGTGGTTAATGCAGCTGAAAGATTGATCTTTCTCTTTTAAAGCCGGACAGCAGATAAAGTGCAGTGAGTCTGTGGTGAATTTGTGCTGTAGCTGCAGCTTATGGTTTCCATAATTACATGGTGCAGGTCTCTCATAAGAGTTTACCGAGCCCCTGCCCTGAACAGGAGAATGTAGCCTTTTACCACAAAACTGCTAGCTGTGAGAGGTTCGACTAGGAACTTACCTACACACACACGATCGCTCACTGTTCATGGTCTCGTTATCATCTTTGTCTTCATCATTTTCACAATTGTTTTTCTTCTCTTAACTTTCATCCTTACAGTTGGAGGGCTCATACTGGGTAATGGAGACCAGGGGGGGAAAAAAGTGATTTGAATTTCAATTGTGTTATATTCTTAGGGACTTCAGTCCCTCATATGTTTGCAGTAAGATTCTGGCTCATATCTCATTTACTGCCTCCAACTGTGACTTCCACTTCAGTATGAGATTGAAACAGTCTACGTTATTGACTCAGCATCATAGCCAGGCAACTATCAGGATTAGTTCTCAATACTGGGCTTGTCACCATAAATCACTGTCAGATAAGCGGTCTCATAAAAGGAAACATCTTAGATACAATGTTGATTAAATACATAATACTGTATCAATACAAGAAATGCAATGCAGAATTGTTTCATAGGTCAAAGAAAATCTGAGTATTCAAATTAACTCAAATTTTAGGATCAACTGCTGCTTACTTTTCAGGATGTTGAGGTTCAGGAGATTCAGATCATCTTTAAAGCATTAGTGGTAATCTGTATTCAAAAGGAAAGTGAGATGAGCAGAGGACAGTTCGAAGCTGAGTAGGAGAAGAAAAGAAATGAAGCGCTCAGGGGTGTAGTGCATGTGAAAAGCAGCTGGAGAGGAGAGGAGGTTTACGTGGCAAGTGGAAACCATTTCAGTGTTGCGCACAGACTGAGGGAGTGTGTTTATGTGTGCAGACTTGCTGTCTTTATTTGAGCAGCGGGTCTCCGGGGGCCTATAGGGTGTGTACGTGTGCATGAGATTGTGTCTGTGTGAGGGTTTGCATGCCGTATGTGGGCATGTGTGTACGCATGCTTTGTCAGGAGGAAAGGGGTTAATGTGTTCGCGGATTAGATGGTGGGTGGGTCAAGAGGTCTGTGTGTTTGTTTATATTTGCAGATGGATAAGATTTTAAACTGGCATAGGAAATCATTAAGGCAAATGAGCAATTCCAAATCTCTTTAACAACCATACACTGTTTCAGCTTCTTCTTTCTCAATGAACACCCCCCCGACTCACTCACACGCACAATGCGTCTCACAGTAGCCAGTAGATTAGTTTTATGGGTTAAACCAGGTTTAAATCAAATGTTGCATTTTTCTTTACTAGATGCTGTTAAAAGTCAGATATGTTGTTGTTGTGCTGTTCATTTCATGGACACAGTTTGTTTATTAGTGTATAAGTGTTTTTTTCCCCAAAGTTACCACTTAACTCTGGCAGGGTTGAAGCTCCACCCCCTCCAGCATGGAGCAGATCCAATACAGGCCGCTCTGTTTCTGATAAGTGACCATTTGTCACAGTGGACTCCCACACTGGAGGCAACACTTGAGTTGTTTGCTCAAAACAAGCCAGAAAATGTTCTGTAATGAATGAGATCAGTAATGTATTTTTGTTTCTTTATTTGTTAATCTTGCATAAGGTGTTAGTCGTAGGGATCCGGTATGTTGTTCTTTCATGCACTTGCTTTTCCTTCACATGCTAGTTGTCAAGTGTTAAAGATGTCAAGGGGAGGTTTGTCTCTGATCTGATTCCAGACTTTCTGGAAACTTCAACATCCAGTGCAATGATGCTACTACTTAAGTTAAAGGTACCCTGTGTAGTTTCTTACCCTCTAGTTTCATATATTTCACTGATCAACAGTTAGTGGTAATCTTTCAATTAATGTAGCAACAAAGGCAAGAAAAAAGAAGTTTGCTCACAAGCAACCATGGATGTAAACAATGTAGGTTTCATATTTCTCCAAACCTGTCTGGTAGTTTTTCTTTTAGCTAATATGACATTTTCACTTTTCTCTAGAACTAAAAACAGCAGATCCAGTGACGATAATTACGATATTCAACAGTTTTTAACAGCCTTGTTAAGGCTGTCTTACTGTAAGATGATTTTAAGGAACATTTCTGTACTATTTGTTTGTGGTCTGCCCCTTTTCCCTCAGGGCCACATACTGATTCAATGACATGAGTACATCTGTACTACATTGAACAGCAGTCCTGTGTCCTTTCCTAATCCAACTGCACATCTGCTGCTGATGAGCCAAACAAAGGCATCGCACTTTGCCAAACTTTACTCCTCTCAACCAAGATCTGCTCTCATAAAGTCACCCCAGGGTCCAGAATATGGCACTGAGACATAAAGGCCTGTGCCAACTATGCTATCAACCAAAAGGCTTGATCCTGAAAAATCTCTCAAGAAAAATGTCTTGGTATAAATGGGTAGACTAGACTAACTGGTTTCCTCCTCTTGGTGATGAATTATTGCACAGTTCCAAACTGTCATCATCTTTGGATGGAGCTGATGATGGGTGAGTGGGGGTGGAGGTGGAGGTTGGATGGAGTTAGGACGTCTGGGAGTGCAAGGGTGGGAGCAGGAAGCACATGTATAAATCTGAGTGAGGAGAGATATAAACACAGAGAGTGGCTAACAGGGCTATCTGATGGAAGCCAAGAGGAAAATACTTTACTTTTCAAAGCTCATAAATACTTTAGATCTACGTTGTGCATACACATAACGTATAATACACATTTAAACACACATGCAAACTCACACACACACAAACACTCTGTAATGGTTCCCAACCTCTTTTGTAACACAAATCCCCACAACATCTGATGAACTCCAGTACCCCTTCATTGATAATACCGATTTTGTTTCAAGTATATTCATTTGAGTATAATTAACTCATTATTATTAGCCATTAATCTAAATTTAGCTGTTTCAACCATTTAGCCACAATATAAAGCTAACTGTTTTAGCTTCTGTACTTGCTTGCTAATAGTTTCCATGCACCTTTATCTGACCACTTTTTGTGGATATTTTGTATTTGCTTTTGATAAAATCGTTATCTTAATTTTTTTCAAATTAGCTGAGGTACACAATCTTTTCCACGTGGCCCTGGCAACTGCAGAAAAGTTGTTGGAAATCACCTTTTTCAGGGAGTGACTGATTGAAGTACCATAGCTTTACTTGGCTAATGCATTTCATTATAATCTTGATTTGGACACAGTAATTCATAAAGCTCCTTTTATACTCTGTTCTCGTTCCGCAGAACTCATTTGAAATTAGAACTATCCTGTCCAAGGCTGTTTCCCCTCATTTTTCTCACACATGTTCTCCTTGTTCTGGCTCTATCTTCCTGCTGTTGCAAAACATTTCATTTCCTGAATGAGGCTGAAATATTAGCTTTTGTTTTTCAGGCCTGTTGACTTTGCTGACAAAGTCTTTATTCACTCACCTCAGGTCTCAGATTTTCTGTTCACTCACAGCAGTGATTAATTGTATGTTTTAGAAACCTCCATTTACATCATTTTTACATAGATTATGGTTTTATGAGATCATGAGTTTTATGTCCATCTGTCTTGAAATGGTATTGTTAAGTGTACCTCTTTCTTTTTTTAGTAAGACATTGTCCAGGATGGCATATTTATTCAAAAGTAGTTTCCAGACAGGACATTATTTAATTTCAAGGCCATATTTATTATTAAATAGGCAAAGGCACCGAATAAATCCACAGGTTTGCTGCTTGTTATAGTTTGCGAAGATTGCTGATCATGAAAAAATAAGTATCTCATTTAAATTGCACGCAGTAAAGGTATTGCAGTACTAATGATTCTGTAAATGTAGACAAGCCAAGACCATAGGTGATGACAGGGAACTTGATTTACTCATGTTCTGTACTGCATACAGAATTTGTTGGAAAATGTAGTTAAAACTGGCAAAAAGTGTTTAATAGTGGCAGCAAACCATGTTTGTGTCATTCATCTTATATCCTTGTTCAGCCTACATTATTAGTGATCGGTGTTAATTGATCTGTGAGTTAAAACAAACCACTCAACCACACATGTCCAACAATAGTGTCAAAAGAAATATTACTGTTTGCTGTAACTAAAGTAATTACTGTCATATTATACTTTGAAGGACAAGAAGGCAATACCCAGACTTTAAATACGTTCTTTCCAGTCTTTCTGCACCCAACTTTGTGGTTTGACAAAACATCTTGCACAAATAACGTGAAGCTTCATAAACCACAGCCCAACCACAGTAATTCAGTGTCAGGCTCTTTGGCAGTTTTAGCACTTCAGATGCTAATGGTGCTGAGTTCATCTTCGTAAGTTATGAGCTCCTTGACATTTCAAATTTAGTTCCCGAATTGAATTCAAAATATTATCCAGATAGATAAATGTTAATCTTCAGTCTGAAGGACTTTCGCCAGATCAGTTCTTGGAAATGGCAACTTAATCCAAGTTGTCTTGATCATTCCTTACCTAATCCTCAAACCTTCCATCTGTTGGACTGAATTGTTCTTATTACCATGCTCAGGACAGTAAAAGTTCCCTTTTCAAGAAACTGTGTTTACCACATAAAAAAAAGAGGTTATTTTATCTTGTTGACATTATTTCCCTGAAGATATTTGTTGATTATGTGAGTCAAGAGCTGTTTTTCTTCTCGCTAACTACAGTAACTGATGGCAATAAAAAGCAGCAATGTGACCATAAATAGAGATTGTGATCTCTACTGTTTGTAGACATTTTGCTGTTATTCAAACACACCATAAAAGTACATTGTGTATCTGTTATAGCAACCCTATTATGGTAAACAGATATAATCTTAAGTGTGCAGACAGTAGCTCCCTTCTCTTAGAAGCTTTGAACTCAGTGGTCAGCAGAATCTCTTGTTAATGTGTGAACTGAGTGTCAGCTGGAGTTGTGTCTGGATTCCAGCTGACGCTTGTTAGATCTGCTTTAGTTCCTTCAGCTATGCTTGCTTTAAGGATTTTTCATGATTAAGGCTTCAGACAGAGTCAGTTAATGTAGCTTTGCTAATGTGTGGGGTTGTGTGTGTTTGTAATATATTGGGAACTATATAACTGTATTTGTTTTTACAAATAAAATCATATGTTTCTGTCTTAAAAATACATTCCTGTAGTCAGTTAGAATGAACCAAACTCTTGTTAAGTAGTTGATGTGACCAAGTTATGAAACCAAGCACAAATCGAAAAAACTAAGTCACTGCTGGTGTTTATATGGTTAACTCAGTGAAGTACAGAAAGGAAGATTTCCATTGGCTGGGCTGCACGCCGTAGTCAGAGTTCTAGTGTTTCATGGAGACAGAGGGCCATCCCTCTGAGCACAGCTCCAGCCCCTTCATCTGGTTCTATTTAAGGCCTCTAGTGCCGACTCTTATGATTGGTGTACACAACCCCCTACTCTTCCTCCAGCTCCAGCCCCAACTGAGGAGAAGGAGGCTTTTTAGCTGATGGTTTATTTTCCAAGGGAAACCATTTCTTTCTCCCACTCTACTGTCCTGTCCTCAGCTGGCTTTAGCTCACTTTTCTATCACTGCTACAGCTCCCTCTGCTTTCTCGTTGCTGCTCCTCTTTCCACTGTGTTAATGTACCTACCTGCATCTACTGACCCGGGCCATCTTTGTTGGACAATAAGGATGAGGCCCCTTCAGTAACACAGAATGGATTTTCTGCACTTGACTGTTTGATCCTTAACTTTTTAGAGGGAGATTCTTTTCCTAGACTTTCAGCATCTCCATTGC